CTATTGCTTGAAATATATGTTCCATCAGTCCAGGTTCACCGAATTTTTCTCGATTTTTTTAAAGTAATGGATCTTCATTTCCTAATCATACACCTAACAGCAACGACTTATGTCCGACTGGAAACAGAATGGAACATTTTCGTTTAAGTTTTTTCTATTCGAAAGCGTTATTTCAAAAGTATGTCTTCGCCCAATTTCCTACATCTTAGAACTTGGAGAAATTATAACTACAAGTTGTTAACGGAACACAATTACCCTTACACAAGAAAGCTTAAATTCGAGTTTGCAAGGATATAGGAGTGAACAATTGCTGTAAAACAGAGATAGCGGATCAAAGTCTCACCTAGAGCAGAATCTGCCGCAACACGAGTTGTTGATGTTGAAAAAAGAGCTATGGGAAACTTCTGAAAAGCAGAAGCGATGGAAGTTTAACGCTGTATCAGAACTTACAAAGGGTGTGCGACGGTTATGCAAGGAACTGGCGTGTGATGTGTCCAAAACACTACTTATCGAGGGCTCAAATCATATCTACACAGCATGCATTGGCTGTTTTCGACTAGTTCATACATGGTCTTTGATGCCAAAAGAAGTGCAAGCTGCGCGCATCAAGTGGAATAGGGGTCTATAAACTTTATATATGTAGTAGTACACCAAACAGGATGTTATAGCACGATAGGCGCTTTGTCTGGTTAAAAAAAAGTTTGGATCTGGTATGGCGGTTCGTTTGATACGGTCATGGTACGAGGCAATTTGGGGAAGAACTAGGCGACCTCCTCAGTCGAGAATCTGCCCGAATTATGTAATTGTCCGGGCAGTCTTCCCTGACTTTTGTTAGAATTCAAATCGCTTTTACCAAACATCGCATGAACTTATTTGGCTGACAGGATGCAAAAGAAGAAGGTCAAGTAATAAAAATCTAAAGACGTTTCTATCAACCATCAAAGCGCTCCAAACTACAATACAACGCTACCGCTGATGCGAGCGAGGAGAGACAAATTGCATCAGTTGAAACTAGTAGAAATGGCATCCTCGTTCGAGTCGTTCAAGGCACATCAACAAAAAGGCGATGCTGGGAAAAATTTGGGGGAAAGTCGTGTCCACTGGAGGAATGCGAAGAAAACAATGTGACTCTACACCCCCAAAAGGAAAAAATAGAAAAACTTCGTGTAGTAAATTAATTCTATATAGCTGTCTTTGAAGATACTCTATGAAGTAAACGAGCTGATTCAAAGCAAATAAAATTTGGGAAATGTTCTTTGTTTCGTCGACCCCAAATTTGAGAGGCTGCAGATTACATTGCCGTATGAATACGACTTGAGAAGAGGTTTAATAATGGAAAAAGGCTTACCCCTTAATCCAACGGATGGTTGTCCGTTTTTCACTGCATTTAGTGCATATTCAATTTGCATAAGTTTTCCCGACGGACTGAAGTAGTGTTGGATAAGGAGGATACAAGACTAAGGGTTATAAGCTTGATACCTGAATGTGGTCAGCGAGAAGCCGTAGTGGTCACCCATTGTCGATCTGAATTATACAGAAGTTCAGAAAAATTTGAAACGTGCCGATATAATACGAAAGAAATGACGCATAGATCACAAGATTCAAGAAGGGGTTGGGCGGTCTTCCAGTTCAGTTTACAAGGGATCATGAATTCAAGCCGTTGCCTTGCGGTGGAGGCGGTTGTAGTTGTGACTGGCCTTTACAAGTACCCAAGAATTGAATCGGTGGCGAAACTGAGAGTAAGAAAAGAAAGTTCATCTAGAAAATGGAATATGGCGAAACATGCCAAGAAAAGTAACCATAATATGAGAAAACAACCGGAAAGGTCAGGACTAAGCCGAAATCTCTTCAGCTATGACTCAAGGGAATCCGAGAAAACAACATATCAACAAGGATAAAACACTAACGATCCACGAATATTCAAAAACGAGAAACTCAGATAACAAACTTCATTGTTGACTTCAAAGTTGAAGTCATTAAAGGACATCAAAATCATCATCACTACCGTAACCTCGCATTGGAGCGCAAAAACTGCAGGAATACAATGTGGTTCAGATGTGGTTCCAAAAGCGGATGTGTACTTCGCAGCGAACATAATTGCATTTCTGGGCAGTAGAGCCTAATCCACGTGGACCTGAAAAATTGTAAGGGTTTTTTGCCTCATTGTTCGAGAGCTAAATGTTTCCTGTGATCTGTGAAGAGCTCAAGGAGACTTCATCTAACAATAGGACAGGACCTGGGTACCACCCTGTTTAGACACAACGCATAAATACAAAAGCAGCCTGTATAAATATAATGTGTAAAATATCACCGATAAAGAAACAGGGAGAACGTCCGTTGCCCGCGCCAGCCGAAAGTATGTCACCTCGCCCACTTCGCGCACGGCGCACCACACTGAGGTCCCGAGATGACATTACAGCATCAGCAAGTGTCAGTGAAGCAAAATATTTTTGTTTGTTTGTGTTATCTTCTCTTTGAACTGACTGCCGTGGACCAAGCGTGGATCGTATGCCCCACTGGCAACTGCGACGTCTGTCAAGTATCGCTGGCGGACCCGCCGCGTGCGACGGCTGCGGCGTGACCTAGTTTCGACGGACGTGCGCAACGAAGCGCACCCAAGAAACAGTGAAATGAAGCTCGTCCAAAATAGCGTCATGCTCACGCGTGAACAAAAAAAAAAGGTTAGCCGATACCTTCATTTGATCGAGTATACTTGTGTGTCTACAAGGTTCAGGTTGCGCAACTCCGTCCCGTATTAAAAGAAACGCTGTCATTAACATAGGTATAAACTAATTAAGATGATTAATTCATAGATTCAATTTTTAGATTATAGATTTTTGCGTTTCAACAAAACTAAATAACCTAAATCATCATCAGATATCAATTTAGGATTCTCATTCTTGGCAATAGTTTTAGGGTTGGAGCATTGAATTGTTCCATGGGTAGAGGGTTATTACCTTATGACCTGTTAAGCTGCAGGTATTCAGATTTGTTCAAGATGTGGGCGAAGCTCTTCAGACTATTGAGCGCTTCTTATGGGATGATGGTCATTTTCAGAGGTGCGCTCTGGTTTGAGCATTTCGGTGTGCGCCGTGCGTTTGGCTTATATCCGAGTCCGTGACTCACAGCTGTATGTGCGTAATGAGCTTGCGCAATAGATTTCCTTTTCTTAAATCAGTGCTTTCATACACTCAGACAAACCCGATAGAATTATATCGATAAAAAAGGGTCTAAAAACTTGTGGAATAACCCAAGGTTTGATCCCATCACCTCACCTGGCCACACCGGCCGCAGTGGCTCTACTTTTCTTCTTCCCATCCTCCCAATTCAGTAGCCTTTGGGCTAATAATAATATGGACAAATTTGTTTCCAACTAATTGGTCAACACTTCTACACCGTCAGTATCAAATAAATCAAAATCCCTGTCAATCTCGGAGGGAACAGATCCTGCTCACCGTACAAATAAGGCCAGCATATCTGGCTAACGAGCTGCACCTACCTTGCACAGTTGCCTGCCGCGTACCCGTTCGCCTATGTTACTTCATGAGCTAAATCTTAAAATTGTTACTCCCCATCTAGGCAGAGGTGGTGTGATGCCAAGTTCACACTAGATACTTGTGGTCCAGGGGTCGAATCTCGGATCTGTAGCCACCAGTACCTTCAGAGCAGGTAGTTTGGGGTGTGGTGTATTAGGAGCGAAATGGTCGCGTCGAGGTGAGAGGGGCATCGCGCGCGAAGGAATGTAGCAGGATGCAGCAGTAAGTAAGAAATACAAGGGCAAAACTACTAATAGTAGAATTATGCATAAAATGATTATCGCATATCGATTGAGCTGTATGGAGAACGCTAGAGCTGTAATAACGGCAAGTGAATCCGCGACAATTTAACCATTAATTAATAAATTAATTTTAGGGATTAATGGTCCGCGACAGCCGCGTGCGGCGAATCGGTTACCCAAAATCGTTTCTAACGCCCGTCTCCCGGTAA